TGCATTAAGAAGAGTGTCTCCAGCAGGTCGAGGGAGGTGATCGTCCCCCTATACACAGCCCTGGTAAGGCCACATCTGGAGTACTGTGTCCAGTTCTGGGCTCCCCAGTACAAGAGGGATGTGGAGCTGCTGGAGAGAGTCCAGCGCAGGGCTACCAGGATGATCAGGGGCCTGGAACATCTGCCCTGTGAGGAAAGGCTGAGAGAGCTGGGCCTGTTCAGCCTGGAGAAGAGAAGGCTGAGGGRGGACCTGATCAGYRTGTATAAATACCTCAAGGGAGGCAGTGAGGAGGAGGGGGGCGGCCTCTTTTCAGTGATGGACAGTGATAGGACTAGAGGCCACAAGCTGAGGCACCAAAAGTTCCACAGGAACTTAAGGAAACACTTCTTGACAGTGASGGTGACAGAGCCCTAGAACAGGCTGCCCAGAGAGGTTGTGGAGTCTCCTTCTTTGGAGATCTTTAAAACCCTCTTGGACGCAGCCCTGTGCCCCGTGCTCTAGGTGACCCTGCATGAGCAGGGGGGTTGGACTAGATGACCTCTGAGGCCCCTTCCAACCTTCAGCATTCTATGATTCTATGTTTCTATGATGATGGTGAGCTGAGAAGCTTTCAAGTCTTATCAGTCCATGACCTTTCAGTATCAAGGAAGTGTGTGTGTGTGCATGGGCATAGTGCAGCTGGGCCAGAGGAAGCAAGAGAGATGAAAACTTTCTTCTTTTTTAAAGATCTTCATGTGTTATGTGCAGTCTGGCAGATGGTGGTGCTCAGATCCTCAAATGTGATCCCCAGATTCCTCATCCAAGTGCCCCTATCCTAACTCCTTGACAACCTTTTATCTTCTACTTACTTCAGACATTTAATCTTCAATTCTTCCAGTGCTTTGACTGCTTGTGTCTCACGTGCCCAAGCAGCTAACATCTAAGCACTAAAGGTCCTTTGGAGTGTCAAGGTGGTCCTCCCTTTGAGGGAGGCAGATCACCCACCCACTGCCCATAGACACAGTCAGCACTTGCCCAGCTGAACACTCAAGGGTCCTACAAAATGCAGCAGCAGCAGCCACGGTGCTGTTTGTTTTAAACACAGTAAGGGAAACAGTAATGGTGCTTCCACTTTATCCCCTTTGTATACTCTCCATAAACATTATGTATAACAACTCTCCGCACTGTGTATGGTCTAGCCACCAAGGGAGCTCTAATTCTTTCCTTACTTGAAGCACCAAGTTTCCTGCCAGAAAATCCTATTAAATCCTCTTTTCTCACTTTTCTGGAAATGTTTTCCATTCAAGTTCAAGAGAGAAACTGAGCCTTGATTAGCTTTTTTTCTTTTTCTTTCTGTAAATGCAATATATATCTAAGATTTTTCCAACATAAAATACAATTTTTTTCTCTGCTTTCAAGAAAAAAAAAAAAAGAAGAAGTCTTGTAAAAGTAGCACAATCACATAGAAGGAAGGCATTTTCCACTGGCGATAAGAGAATTTATGGTACTTTTACATACCCTCTTGGATGCTTTGCATATGGTTAGAAATGCCATGATCAGCCGATCTA